AAATCATATATATATTAAAAATATCCACTTAAGAATTTATTGTTCACATCATTTTCCTGCATCTCTAAATATTCCAGCCTGTATTTCCCAAAAATCAAGGGCATTCTTTTGTGTAGTTCAATTATCAAACTCAATAAATTTACAAATGTAGCATTATTATCACTTATATATTTCCATATCGAAATTTCACAAATTATCTTTTTTTCTGTTATTCTGTTGTAAAGATGCTGTTACAGTTACATGAGAAAGGCTCATTGCCTTACTCTCAAATTATCTTTTTTTTAAATATTTTTATTGTGAAAATACTGTACAGAGGGGTTACAAGTACATGGTAAGATAATGAGTACATTTCTTATCAAGCATTGTAGCCTCCTCCTTTGTTTCCCCTTCCCATCCCATCCTTCCCCCACCTGCCCACCCAATCCTCCCCCCTCCCCCTTCTCCCCGCACCAAAGTTGTAAAGTTCGTTTTCGACATACGACTTGTACGTCTCATTGTTGCAATGGGTCCACCTGTATTCCTATTTAAACGATTTGTTTTTTCCCTTCCCCTCTACAAATTATAACAACATCAAATACAGTGAAAGTAGGGGTTATATCGTGGGAGAGGGACATACAAAGCAACAAAGAAATAATCTTATAAATGTGTTAGAAACAATCGCATGAAAGAAAAAAAAATTTGAATACATATCTTAGGGTTCATTTCCCTAACATCAACTTATCTGACCTTTTCTGCTTGACTCAGACATATACTAGTTATTGCAAATAAGGGAAACCATAGGACCTATGTTTCTTTGGGCCTGGCTTACTTCACTTAATATAATTTTTTCCAAGTCTTTCTATTTCCTAACAAATGGGGCAATGTCATTCTTTCTGATGGAGGCATAGAATTCCAGTGTGTATATATACCACATTTTCTGAGGGGCATCTGGGTTGGTTCCATATCTTAGCTTTGGTAAATAAGACTGCAATAAACATAGTCGTGCTGATAGCTTTAGTGTGGTCTTGTTTGTGAACATTTGGGTAAATGCCCAAAAGTGGGAATGCTGGGTCATAGGGGAGCTCTATGTGGAGTCTTTTGAGGAACCTCCATACTGTTTTCCAAAGTGGTTGAACAAGTTTACACTCCCACCAACAATGCAGTAAGATTCCCTTCTGTCCACATCCCCTCCAGCATCTGTTGTTATTAGAGTTCTTGATTATAGCCATTTTAACTGGGTTAAGGTGATATCTCAATGTTGTTTTGATTTGCATTTCTTTTATGGCTAGGGAGGTTGAGCATTTCTTCATGTGTCTATTGGCCATCCTTCTTTCCTCTTCAGAGAAGTTTCTCTTTAAGTCTTTAGCCCACTTATTTATTGGGCAATTGTTTCTTTGAAGATTTGTTGTTGGGGGATTTAATTTTTTGAGTTCCAGGTATATTTTAGATATGAGACCCTTGTCTGTTGTATGGCTAGTGAAGATCTTCTCCCAATCCATGGGCTTTCTATTGATCTTGCTAGCTATGTCCTTTGCCATGCAGAAGCTCTGCAACTTCATACAATCTCATTTGTCCAACCTTTCTTTGATTTGTTGTGTTTCTGGGTCTCTATTAAGAAAATTTTAGCCTGTGCCAAGGAGACCTAGGATTTCTCCTATTCCATCCTGTAATGTTTTCAGAGTGTCTTCTTTGACTCCGAGGTCTTTGATCCATTTGGAGTTGATTCTGGTGCAAGGTGATATATAAGGATCTAGCTTTAGTTTTCTACAAGTAGTTAACCAATTTTGCCAGCAGCATTTACTGAAGAGGCTATCTTTCTTCCATTCTATTTTTTTAGCTCCTTTATCGAAGATTAGATGGCTATAGGTCTGTAGGTTCATTTCTGGGTTTTCAATTCTATTCCATTGGTCCTGAGGTCTCTTCTTGTGCCAGTACCAAGCTGTTTTGATTACTATGGTCAAATTATCTCAACAGTGCCATTTACTGAAATTGTGTCTCTGACTCAGGCTCCAAACAAGGTTCATCCATTACATTTAATCTAGTATCTCTGTTGTTATGGAACAATACCTTACACTATCATTATATTTCATGATATTGACTTTTTTAAGCTTACAGGCCACTTGTTTTGTAGAGTTTCCTTCTCCCTGTGTTTTTCAGTATCCTTGTTACTGGAGTTAGTTACATATGCCCTTTGGGAAGAAAAACTCTTGTGATTCTGTAACTTCAGTGTGTGTGTGTGTGTGTGTGTGTGTGTGTGTGTGTATACATGTATGTGTATGCATATATATATATATATATATATATATATATATATATATATATATATTCTGAGTGACAAATGTCAGTTTCTCTCATTAGTGAGTACTGAACGTTTAGTGAGAATGGAATTCCATATCCATTTCACTACTACAATAACTTCCATTGCCCCCTCTCCAACTAATAAGCACCTACACTTTGATGTTGTGCAATTCTCTTGCTGCTTTTTACGTTTCCCTTAAGCATTTTAGTATCTATTAGGCATGTTAAATCTAGCCAAATTCAATTATTGCTGTGATGACTGAAAAATGATCATTTTCCAACCCTGTTATTCCTTTTGTGTTTATTGGGTGAGCTCTCTGTAAAGAGGGGCCTTCCCTTCTTCCCTTCTTATGAATTTATTCTCTTACTAGCTTGTCCTACTGTAGATGCATTGTTTCTTGTTTCTGTCAGTGGTTTACAAACTCTTCTTCATTATTTATTTTGAGCTCAAATTTTCCCATATTTACTTCAGGGAATCCTTGAAAAGTTATCGTCTGTGTAATTTTTAAATAATCCTATAATTTTTGGCTTGATTTCCTGCTACACTGAAATGGAGACCTAAAAATGTAGCTTCATTTCTCATCCTACATTCTCTCTCTCTCTCTCTCTCTCTTTCTCTCTCTCTCTCTCTGTGTCTCTCTGTGTCTGTCTCTCTGTCTCTCTGTCTCTCTCTCTCTCTCTGTAGTCCAATGAACTCTTTCACCAGAAGGGGAAGTGTGGTGAGGCAAATGTTCTTTAATATTTCAGAAACACTATCGACAAAGGAATCAATACTCTCCATGCAAAAAGGATTAGTAATTCCCCTCTCTCGAAAACAAGAGAGGATGATTCCTTTCTAATGGAAGGTTATCGTTTCCTGGTAGCCATCAACCTCTTATCTTGACAGGGAAGATATTTCAGTACTCATGTCACATGTGACATTCAAACCTTGACTGTTCACATCATGGAGACTCTCCTGGAATGTGCCGGGCATATTTAGTTGATTGTCTGTAAGGAATGCTTTGTCCCAGCTGAAATACTGTGGGTCAATCCTACAAGCCACAAAAGTGATGCCTGTTGCCAGTTTTGGATGTAGTATCAATTTTGTAGTCTAGTAGAAAATGCAAAGCTCATATATTAAGTAATTTTGCTTCTGTCATACCTTGTTCTATCTTGTCTTTTACCTGCATGGAACTCAAAATTATAACAAATACCCTAAACAGAGGAAAGATGAGGCATTCCCAGATGATCAACATGCGGGCCCCATTGTTTGGGGTTTACTGTGCGTGCAAGGCCAAGATTCAGAGCAGCCAGGCCTGCTTTCCTCTGCATGTGCTCCTGACTAAAAATTATAAAAGTAAATTTTTTTCTAATATAGATCTAGACTTGACCCTTGAAAAGAGGTAAACAAGTGCACATGGAAATAAGTATGCTGTGACCAAGGGTGTGGCTAGACATACAGCAATGCTACAAGCCGTCTTTGTGGGCTGCCTTCTGTCAGTGGCTCCTCACTTGTTTTCATCAGTTTATCATATCAAAGTATAGGATCAATTCCTTCATTCATGTAAGAAATGGAATGCCTACTGTGGGACATGCACTTCTCGAGATCTTTAGAGGACATGAACTATATGAATTTCAAAACTTCATTTGTGTCCTTGTTGATGATAATGAGGCTGGCATGCTTACATTGGTTGCATGCATTTGAAATGGTTCATGTCTTCCAAAAGTCCACTCAGAAATACCCTGATGTTTTAACCAATAAATTATATGAGAGAGAGAGAGAGAGAGAGAAAGCCAAACACTGGTAGATAATGTTTGTAATCCTAACTACTCAGGAAACTGAGATCTGAGGATCACAGTTCAAAGCCAGCCAGACACAGATAACAGTCCAGGAGACTCTTATCTCTTAATTACTGCACAAAGCTGTAAGTGTAACTGTGGCTCAAATGGTAAAGCTCTAGCCTTGAGCAAAAAAGAGTTAGGGAAAGCCTCAGCCAAGGACCAGCATGAAGAAGAAAGAACGAGGAAGAGGAAGAAGAAGAGGAGGAAGAGGAAGAAGAAGAGGAGGAAGAGGAAGAAGAAGAGGAGGAAGAGGAAGAAGAGGAGGAGGAAGAGAAGGAGGAGAAGAATAGAAGAAGAAAAAAGAAGAAATACCTATATATTTAGAAATACCTATATATTTAGACTATATTAAAATATGAAGCTGGGTGTGGTAATGCACTCTAGTAATTCCAGAACTCAGAAGACTGAAGCTGGAGGACGGCAAGTTCAAGGCCAGCCTGGGCTGCATAGTGGGATCCTGTCTCAAAAACAAAACCAACAAAATATGATATATGCTCCAGATCTAGAAGAATTTCAAGTATACCCAACTTAGGCTTCTAATTATTGAGATTATCTTTTAAATATCTCTTGTTTTTCTTTGTTGGTCCTGAGGCTTGAACTCTGGGCCTGGGCACTGTCCCTCAACTCTTTAGCTCAAGGCTAGCGCTCTGCCACTTGAGTCGCAGCCCCACTTCCCGTTTTCTGAGTGGTTTATTGGAGATAAAAGTCTCACGGATTTTCCTGCATGGGCTGCCTTTGAATCACAATCCTCAGATCTCAGCCTCCTGAGTAGCTAGGATTACAGGCATGAGCCACTGGCACCCGGCAATGTCTCTCTTTTTTAATACACTACTCTTTACATAATGGAGTTAACAGGCTCTCTTTTAGATATTTAAACTTCTGCATCTGCTTACTTTCTACAGATACAACACACTCAGGGGAAATTGGCACTAAGAAAAAGGTGAAAAGACTGTTAAGTTTCCAAAGATACTTCCATGCGTCGAGGCTGCTTCGTGGGATTATACCACAAGCCCCCCTCCACCTGCTGGATGAAGACTACCTTGGACAAGCACGGGTAAGCAGTCACCCCTCTCTCCCTGCATTACTCCACTGGCCAAGAACCTGTGCCTCTCATAGATTTGAGCCCTACTCTGCCTCTGAGAAGCTGTGTGGTCCTGGGTTAGTGAGTGGCTCAACACATCTGGATCTTTTCATCAAATATCAAATGAAAGTAAGAGAAAACATCTGCCTTATAGAGGAAATGCAGAGATTAATGAAGGAGAATACGTTTTTGTTCTTTTACAAATGCTGGGTCTTGAACCCAGGAGTCTCACACAAGCTAAGCACACATTCTACCACTGGGCTACATCCCCAGCCCAGAGGTAAGACATAGTTACATGCTTAATATACTCACGCTTGGCTCGTGCTATTTTCATTTCTATAAATGTATAAAATATATTTGTGCAAAGGTCAGTAAAATTAAGTGTTGGGTTCAAAAATCACTAATGAGGGAATAACTACATTTTTTAATTCATTATCTCATTGTTATGGGGACACTGAAAATAATCCACTAATTATCAACTGTTAATTTCACACAAGGTTGTAAATAGTGTATTCTTATTTTATTATTTTCAATCCATTTACCTATTTTTAATGATTTTACAATTATTTTTTCTAGACATTGATTTGACTGAAAACTAAAATTAAGGTTTGCCTGCCCCCCAAAAAAAATGTTTACAAGTTATCTCTAGCCTAAATTGCCAAAGGAATTTAAATTTCAGAAACAAACTGTTGCTATTGAACATAAGTTAAAGGAAGTATTTTATAACTTATCTACTGAGTAATATTATATTATCTACTACTAAGATATATATATATATATTATTAATAGATATTGTTAATAAATGAATAGTAATGTCAAAAAAACTAATTCCCGGTATGGTATCTGTAATTTTAAAAAATCATTATTTATAGCAACCCAGAGTTTGAGATTGGAGAAATGTTTGGGTAGTGTTTGCTTGGTGCTCTCTTGGTTGGTGTTTGTATGGTTGATTGGTGATTGACTGGTTGGCTGGTAGGTGATTAGGTGATAGGTTAAGAGGAGAGCAAGACTAAACTCCTCTAGTACTGGAACACCATGACAGAGCACTCGATCATTTCTCCACCCAAAGCAGCTACATTTTAAAAAGATGATGTTGAAGATACAGAAAGAACAGTGGTCTGAATGTCAGAAGTGAGGTCTTGAATCTGCCTTTGGTACCTTAAAAATAACTTCTCAGACCCTCATTTCTCTGATCAATTATGAGGTCTTAGAGTAGGATTCAGGTAGGTCAAGCCATTCAGAGGCAGGTAGAAATGTGAGCGGCTTCTCTTGTGAATGCCCTCCCAAAAAAGGGGTGAAAGTTTAAAAACATTGCTGAGGAGGAGTTGGATCAACTACTGCAACTTTTATGTAACCGTCTAATGCTAGCCAAGGTGTGTTTTTTCAAAAAGGAAAACAGAATAAGTCTGCATTACACAATAGGCCTTTAAATTATCCAATATTTTCAATTACCTACTCTTCAGTTTCCTGTGCAGCGGTTAATTTTACATTCAGCCCACACTGAGCCAAATAATGCACTCGGCAATGGTTTTCACTTCATTTTTCAAAGAATGTGCTGCAAACTTCCTCCCTAAAATATAGTCTATGGCATAGAGACTTTACCAAGCTTCAATGTGACTGAGAATAAGCCTGCTCCAAACACTCTCACCATACCATTAACAGTGTCCTCCTCACAGCAGCTTGCTGAAGGATTAGCAACCTGTTTTCCAGATGAGGAAACTGAGGTACTGAGAAGTTAAGGAATGTGTACAAGGACTTGTAGCCAGAAAGAGTTGTGGGTGACATTGAACCAGCCTGTCTCCTGAATAGGTATTAGTGAGTAAAGTAAGATTTGGTTTACTCCAAACCTGTTGTAGCGAGAGCCACCTGCTCTATACCCAACCTTTTAATTGTTTAATTGTTTAAAAGTAAATGTTTCAGTCCCGACGTGATTCATGTGGGCGCTATTTTCTGTTTGCCTTTGCAGCACATGCTCTCCAAAGTGGGAATGTGGGATTTTGACATTTTCCTGTTTGATCGTTTGACAAATGGTAAGTTACCCAGAAGAAGTGTCACCAAAATGCACGTGATAAAGGGGAATTCATTGCATTTTTAAAGTTTATTTTTAAACACTACTGTTCTTTTTTCCTTCTTTACCCATTTTTGTAAACCTGCACCTCTCAAGAAAGACCAGGATGAAGAAAAGTTAGTTCAGACCAAGAATAAGACCTTAAGAGTTTGACTTTAGAATCAGGATAGTTTCCTCCTGGCTGTGATGAGCTAAAAGGAATTAGGAACTGGCAGATCACCTTCCTTTCCTTGAAGAATACTTATGTCACATTCTAAAGGGAAACGTCTACTGCTAATGGAAAGCTAAAAACACAAGAGCACTTCAGTCCAGTCCTAACTTTTATGAGGCACGGTCTTTGTGCATTTTTTTTAGTGAGCTCAGTCTACATATTGCAGGTGTTGCTCAGATAAATTTGCAATCACTAGAAGCAAAAAGACTGCTAAGGAGAGAGTGCAAATGCTTACACGGAGCCAAAGAGAAAAGGGAATACTCATTAGTTTTGCTTTAAGGTTCTGTGCCTCTAAAAACCTTCTTTATCAAAAATAATACAGTATTATTGTATTTTCATCTGGCCACTAAATAAGCCTAGGCAAGCTTAAGAAGCCTATGAAAGACCTCATATTTGGTGCTGGTGTTACTTTCTCCTGTCACCTACCATCGTGTTTGATGTTATTTTTTACATTAAGTCATTATAGATGACTTGAGACTGTGCAGTCAAAAGGATATAGCCTAGAATCATGAAATATAACTTTACTCCATGGAAACATAACTTTATAACTTGACCAGATATGGATGGATCCCCTAAGATTGCATTTCACTTTGCTCACATTAACAGAGAAACTGGTAAATGAAAGTAGCTGTGAATAAAAGAACTTGTTTAATAGTACTAATTAAAAAATTATGTCATCATGACTATCATCGAAAGTAAAGTGAACCTGATAAATATTTAGTTTAACTCAGTACATTTGAGGTCCAATAACATGCTACAACTAGTTCAAAAAGAGACTTTGATGAATCACACGCACACATGCAGTAAGAAATGAGTTTCTAGAAAGAATAAGATTATATCATTTTCAGGGAAATGGATGGACATAGAACAAATCATGTTAAGTGAGGTAAGACAAGTGCAGACACAAAAAGCACATGTTTTCTCTCATATGCAGAAGCTAGATCTAAAATACACGAGGACCTGATGAATTATACAGGACTCTAGGCATTCACTCGCAGTGAGACCACAGGAGGATACTCTTAGGAGAGGAACACAAAGGTGCAACATCTATGTGCATCTGATCATATGAAATAATAGTTATTGAAATGAACTACAGGAAATGGAAATGAGAGGTTTTTTAAATCTTTGTTGCTGTTTTTGGTTTCTTTCCTTTTGTCTTGTTTGTTCATTTATCTGTCTTCGGGAGAGTAATAGAGGCACAGAAATGGAGGGACAGAGGGTAAACAGATGCAGCAATGGTTCTCGCTGGACACGGTTGAAAATGAACTATACAACTTATGGGTCAGAATGAGAGGGAAAAACTGGAAGAGAGAGAGGGAAGGGGATAACATTGTCCTAAAAGAATGTGCTCTTTACTTGACTTGCATAACTGTAACCCCTCTGTACATTACCTTTATAATAACAATTTTTTAATTAAAAAAAGCAAAGAAATGAGTTCCTAATTAGCTGCAAAACTGGGAGGGAGAAATGAAATCTATTGCTAGCAGACTAAGTTCATTCAGAAGTCCATGGACAAGAATCATTTGCAGTTGATTAATTAAACTAACTCTAAATTGAGACTTGTGAAATAATTCAAACACAGTGAAACAGGCAATTTATGAACACCAGAAATACATGCTTAGACAGCAAGTAGTTTTTCATTCAATAAACTCGGGCATCTTCTTGGCCCATTTGAAAGTCTTAAACTCTACAATCCTTTTCATATTCAAAATTATTATTGTTAAATTAACAATATGTCTTAAATGCTTATATGCAGTTATAGCTTTCATCTCTCCTTGCTTGAGTTCTAAAATGCCTCCTAGTCAAATTGCCTCTCAGTCAATATTTTTCATAGAAATAAGAATAAATAGCCTATCACTGTTAATCAATACATTTCTTTGGATACCCTACTAAATGTCACAGTCAGCAGGAAGTGACTTACGGCACATTTCAAGTGGTTATAACTGCGTTTTAAAAGAACATGCTTATATATTCCCATATACTGAGTGTTCTTAATATGTCAGTAGGCAAGCTCCTTTTAACTTTTTTATGGCTTCTGGCATAGGGAGAAAGCCTCATCTTTTTAGACAAACCTAGGACCAGATCCTAGTGATAATATCCTCTATGTGTGAATCATTTCAAATATGAAGGAAGAAAAATTATCCTATCAGAGGACATTATCACAGAGACTAGATCTTATTTTAGTCTTGATATTTTAATGGTGACAAAATAAGTCAAAACAGGTGACTGCTTTTCTCTAGGAAACAGCCTGGTAACACTGCTGTGTCACCTCTTCAACACCCATGGACTCATTCACCATTTCAAGCTGGATATGGTGACCTTGCATAGATTTTTAGGTAAGTCTATTTTTCCAGATTTCTACTTCAGTCTTGTGAATAATGGCAGAACACAACAGTCTTCAATATAAAGCATGAAGAACCGCAGCATGGTAGATAAAGGCCTCAAATCTTAAATGATCTTACCTTAATTTTTTTTTGCCATGCCTAGGCCTTGAACTATGGGCCTATGCACTGAGTAAAAAGTATATGAAGCACAATAGAAATATTTGGATCTAGCCTCAACATGGTTTCTTCCCATGGCTAATAGTATTTCAATTAAATGAGCAAAATAATTACCATGAATAGGTCCACATAGTTATGATTTGTAAAGATTCTTTGGATACATGTTTGTGCCCTGAGAACATGTGAAAATAGTCTCGAAAACTGAATGAACAGCACAATCTAGGACTGTTTTATTATTTGAGCTTAAGAGTACTCTAAGTCTTGGGTTACAGTGGAGGGGCATGAAAAATGATACCTTGAATAAGGTAGACAAAGCCAAAGAGGCTTCAGGTCGGTCCAAGCTGAAGATGATCCAAATTTGCTTGGATCAGTATTTGTCAATACTGTCAAGAGATAATCCAATCCCTGGAGATCAGGAGCCTGATCCTCCTGAGATTTTGAATGGAAGCTTCATCTATGACTTAGTATTCCTAAGCCATATGGCAGCACCGTTGAATAATTAAACTATGTTGTAAAGTAATATTGTCTCTCTTTTTCTACATGTTTATCATTCCTATGATTGAGAGCCTTCAGGAATGCCAGAAAGGAATGATTTGTGAGGGAGCTGGAACATCCCAAAGGCTTCCTAATTCCTTTTAGCTTTTCTCTGCTTATCTCTCCTTCTCTTCCCCACTACAGATAACTTAGCAGAAGAGCCAAAACTGTGAATGACCTTCCAAGGATCCACCAGCTATACATTGTTGGGGTCAATGATATTTTTCAGCAAAAAGCACCTTCAAAAAGTCTGACCTACTATGCCCTTCTCATTGGATGTTAACTGACTGAGTTATCTGCTTGCCTCCTAGTCATGGTTCAAGAAGACTACCATGGTCAAAATCCATATCACAACGCTGTTCATGCAGCTGATGTCACTCAAGCCATGCACTGCTACCTGAGGGAGCCAAAGGTAAAGCAGGCGCCAGCCATCCCCCTCCCCCTCAGCCACTAACTCCCTCGCTCCATGGTACACAATGTAGCTGAACAACTCTGTTAGTAGTCATTTACAACAAGGCATGCAAATCATTGCGTTTGAAGTTTCAGTGTCAGCTCTGAGATAATAGATGCATGGAAAAGAATGCGGGTTTGCTGACGTTCCCTTTCATACTGTATTTTTTTTATTTTTATGTGTTTCTTGCTTTTTGTGCCCATTGCGTGGATTAAACTCAGGGACTGGGTGTTTCCTGTCCCTGAGCTTTTTCACTCCAAGGTTGGCACTCTACCACTTGAACCACAGCTCCACTTCCCACTTAATTGAAGATAAGAATTTCACAGACTTCCCTGCCTGGGCTGGCTTTGAACTGGGATTCTCAGATCTCAGCTTCCTGAATAACTAGTAATACAGGCATACACCACCAATGCCCATCTCATACCATATTTATTTTCAAGGCAGCATAAGGACAAAAAGCAACCTTCCGGCTGGGAAGGTGGCTCAGTGGTAGAGCGCTTGCCTTGCATGCATGAGGCCCTGGGTTCGATTCCTCAGCACCACCTAAGCAAAAAGAAAAAAGCCGGAAGTGGCGCTGTGGCTCAAGTGGTAGAGCGCTAGCCTTGAGCTGAAGAGCTGAGGGACAGTGCCCAGGCCCAGAGTTCAGGCTCCACGACCAGACCCCCCCGCCCCCCCAAAAAAAGCAACCTTCTCTATGGACAGACAAATCTTCTGAGACATCTGATCTCCAGAGACCAACTCTTTTGTCACAAATAGCACTGGCACTGAGCTTTACTAGAAAAAACTTCCTACTTTATAGCTTTTTTTTTTTTTTTTTTTTTTTTGGGGTCCGGCTGTGGGGCCTGAACTCTGGGCCTGGGCGCTGTCCCTCAGCTCTTTAGCTCAAGGCTAGTGCTCTACCACTTGAGCCACAGTGCCACTTCCGGCTTTTTGCTTTTTGCTTTATGTGGTGCTGAGGAATCGAACCCAGGGCCTCATGCATGCAAGGCAAGCGCTCTACCACTGAGCCACCTTCCCAGCCCCTACTTTATAGCTTTTGATCAACAAATAGCCTCAGAATTCCTCAAGGTTAAAGCTCCATCTGTACTGAGCTAACGAGAAATCCTGATTCAAAATTGTCTTAGCAAGCCAACTCTGATTCAATAAACCAATCCAAAGTTAGAAAATAAAAACAAAATGGTAATGCCTATTATTAACAATCTAGGCAATTCTTTGCTGCAGAATGAATTGGGTGTTCGATAGAATGTACAGTATAAGCTTTCTTAAGATTTTGGGGGGAAATGATATAGTCTAAGACTCTCTTATTTTGATCAATTTTAACAAGCCATTAAATTTACCGATGTTTCACAACAACCACTAAAAATACAGATGTCAAGTAGGTAGACTCTGGGACAATGATGAGTAGATAAAGTAGATGCTTCATCCCTCTCCAATATCCCAAAGGCATTAATGGTTTTACTTTTTAATCTCTTTTTAGTCCAAAAGTTGCAATATATCACATAGTTAATTGTGTGTGATTCTCATTTTTCTGCTTGTTTTCCTGGCTAACCAACAAATTAATGATCTTGTCCCCTCCCCCAACTGTTTATTGCACATAAAAGCAGCACACAAAAAACTGACAACTCAGCCCACTTCTTTCAAGGAAGTGGAAAAGATACAGGTGTTGAAATACACAAGTAATTCCTCAAATGTGTCTCTTACTTGAGCTTCAACATTTTCCTTGATTTACAACTTAAGGAACAAGGCTGATGTTAATTCCTGCCTTCTCCTTGCCCACCAGGTAGCAGTTTGCCAATAAGCTATGCTGTTGCGACAGAACAAAATTGAGTGGCAGTCAAAAGCAGGCACTGGAACGATCTGCACAATTTCACTTTGTGCAGTCACTTTCCACAGAGCCTTTTCTTTGGTCCTTACAGTTCCATGTGGATATCACCTCGATGAATACCTCAGAGGAGAGGTCTGGCTGATAGGCCTGAAGAACACTTCATTGTGATTGATTTAGCCAGAACAAATGTCACCATTTATGGAAGCACACTCATCAATCCCCAAATTTTATTTTCATTTTTTGACAGCTGGCCAGCTTCCTTACTCCTCTGGACATCATGCTCGGACTACTGGCTGCAGCAACTCATGATGTTGACCACCCAGGGGTAAACCAGCCATTTTTGATCAAAACTAACCATCACCTTGCCAACCTGTATCAGGTAAGGAAGCCCAGCATGCCATCAGATCCCGTAGAGTCAATTGCACGAGGTCCAGAGTTCCAGTCTGGATTCTGCCAGTGCAGATAACTTCATGTTGGATATGCAGATCACATCCAAAGAGCATGAGTTCGAAACCCACAGATCCAGCTTATCCTTCAAAGAAGATTAAACTTATGTGCAAGGATATCAAAAAATGCAAATTAGGGCTGGGAAGGTGACTCAGTGGTAGAGTGCTTGCCTTGCATGCATGAGCCCCTGAGTTCGATTCCTCAGCACCACATAAACAGAAAAGGCCAGAAGTGGCTCTGTGGCTCCTATGGTAGAACGCTAACCTTGAGCTGAAGAGCTGAGGGACAGTACCCAGGCTCAGAGTGCAGGCCCCACGACTGGCAAAAATAAAAATAAATAAATAAGCAAGCAAATTATTCCAAAGTAGGTTTGAAATTGTCCTAAATCAAACATGATCCCTGATCCTACTCTCCCATGGTCTAGAATAACAGTCTCCAAGGAATTCCTTACTCAATTTTAAGTTCAGATATTTTTCAGCAAATTTAATCTCTTTTCTAAAAATAAGCATTCCAATATAACCAGCTTCTACAAATTTTGCAACATATGATCTTATGTTTCTAATCAGCTGCTATTCATTGCCTACATCGAATGATGTACAAAGATGTATAGGTACAAAAATCAACAAAACAATCTCTGTTATTAAACATCTGGTCAAACTCAAATGTCAAAATTAGCAAAATCCAGATACACTTAATTCCAGTTTGAAAAAAGTTTGAGGAGTTAAATAAAGGTACATCTATAGATAGATTTTTTTTTACTCTTTAAAGAGCAAATACTTGAGCTATTTTTTTTGTTTTGTTTTGTTTTTGTTTTTTGGGTCCGGTCGTGGGGCCTGAACTCTGGGCCTGGGCACTGTCCCTCAGCTCTTCAGCTCAAGGCTAGTGCTCTACCACTTGAGCCACAGCGCCACTTCCGGCTTTTTTCTTTTTGCTTATGTGGTGCTGAGGAATCGAACCCAGGGCCTCAGGCATGCAAGGCAAGCGCTCTACCACTGAGCCACCTTCCCAGCCCTTGAGCTATTTTTTAAATGAGAAAAAATGCTAGTTACTACAATAAAACGAACTATTTTTTCCCAGAGGAAATTTATCATCTGAACTGTTAGCCTGGCCCAAATAGGAAAGAGAAAGATATGGCAATGGAGAAATTGGAACACTAGGCTCAAAATCAACGCTCAAGATATTATCTTTGTCAGCCACCTACCCAGTTGGTCTTACGATCTCTTGGAAGCTGTCTTCCAATTTTAAGGATCAAAATAGAAACAAATCAATATCATATCATATCACAAACACACACCCAGTGTCCTAAAGCCACTAGAATAAAAGCTCAAACTTATGTGAAAATGGCATCTAGTAACTTTAGGGGATTGGGGTGGGGGGGGGGGGGGATTGAGATAGATGGAAGGGATGAAACTGATCAAGGTGCACTGTACTCATGAACTTATATGTTAAGCTGAAACCTCTTGTACAACTACTTAATGATAATTTTTAAAATAGATTTAATTTTAAAAAGCTGAAAATTAGCAAAATCGATATTCTACATATTAAAAGTAAAATTATTTTTAAAAATCTGAAAACAATATAAAATCTTCAATTTTGTCCAATAATTTATACCTTATGACTGACTGTAATTGTTCTTTACCCACTTTACGGAATTCAAAATAGATGAGGATAATTCCTTATTTTAAAAAAATCTGGCTGGAAAAACACGAAGTAAATGACCAGTCAAAAATAAATAAAGGGGTCTGGGAAGGTAGCTCAGTGGTAGAGTGCTTGCCTTGCATGCATAAGGCCCTGGGTTCAATTCCTCAGCACCACATTAGCAGAAAAAATAAATAAATGGCTGGGAAGGTGGCTCAGTGGTCGAGCGTGCACCTTGCATGCAGGAAGCACTGGGTTCGATTCCTCAGCACCACATACACAGAAAAAGCTGGAAGTGGCACAGTGGCTCAAGGGAGATAGTGCTAGCCTTGAGCAAAAGAAGCTCAGGGACAGTGCCCAGGCTCTGAGTTCAAGCCCCAGGACTGGCAAAATAAATAAATAAATAAAAATAATTGTAAAATCCTGTTCAGTAAATAATATAACTAATCTTTATTCAACACTTATTATGACCCAAACACTGTGCTAAGTACATTCTATGTATTATCATGCTTAATCTCCACAGTAGCCCAGTGAAGTGGTATTATTAACATGCCTGTTCTTCAGAAAGCAGGTAATTTCATACTGGAAAATTTCAAATCCTCCTCCTGATTAAACAGCTAATTAATGGAAAAACTGGAATTAGAATTAAAATCTTTTATCTGCAGAGCTAAAGTGCGTAAGAACTATACACACTGCCTATGCTACTCATGATGACCTGCTATGTGCAAGAAGCTAAGTACTGTCCTCCAAGTCCTCCTTCTAGAGAGAGAGAGAAGAGCATTACAGACCTCGATAAATACTCTAAAGTATATGGCTGTAAAGAGTCGTGATGGGAAGACAGAGAGGAGAGGGAAATTGTCCTGCAGATGAGTTAGAGAAGGTAGGTGATGGAGGAAGAATAACTTAAATGGAGCCTTCAAGTGTGAGTACTATTTTAAATAACAAAGATGAAAAGTGGACATTAGGGTCAGCATCTGCCTTATTCCTTTCAGCTTAATATGTACACTTTTTAGTAGGTGAGATGGAATGGCTCTGCCAACAAGTCCCCTGCTGTTAGAATAGTGTCCTGGACATGTCATTGTTAGGTGTATATTGTGTTTCTAGTAGAAATTGCAAATGTCTTGTACAGGACATGACCTGTACAAATCACTCTGTGTTAAGTGTAGGAAAAAAAAAAAAAGGTATAATCCTTCTGGTTTTCGATCTAAGACAAAAAGCCATCCACTGAATAAGCCATGAGTGACATATGCTATTTTCAAATCTTTAACAATGTAGCCTTTTAACTACAAGGGTGATCAAGGGCTTGTTATTTGAGACATAAATGGACTTTCCGGAAACCATGTGCAAATTACAGGCTGTACCTATATACACATTTTCTTAGGAAAAAGAATCTATTGTCACGTTTTAAAGGGAATTTCAGATTCAGGAAATCAGAAGAACCATGGTAACAAGTGAAATAAACATGTGTACATACATGCACAAAAATTATATACTCACATGCACAACAATCAACAAGTATACCCTCGGGAGGATGTTCCAGGAATTCTGGGGCTTTGGGGACGCCCTGTGCGTGACTGCACTACAAGCCAGCTTACTATAAATGAGATAAAATGCAAGAGAGCTTCCTCTCCCTCCTGTTGGCTGTGCTCTTTTATTTCGGATAAATAGGGTCATTACATAATGTGCACATGTGTTTCTGCCCTGAGATAAAGAGGGAGCCAGTGCAGCGGGAGTGAAGGTCAGGTCAAAGGCCACCTTCTCATTGTCTGCTGTCTGGTCCAAGCTGAACTGCCAACCAAGTTCAGCCTGAAGGCCCCGCAGATATTTCCACCTGACACTTTGCTCATCAGACTGGAATCCAGCCAAGTCTCAAGGTACACCAAAACAGAAGGAACATTTGAGAATTCTTACAATGTATCAGCCTTCCTTGCATTCCCCCTCCCACTACACATACACACACACACACACACACACACACACACACACACGCTCACACACAAAGTAAGCATAAAATCATACACTTTCATTTCAATTTGAATTTCAATTGCTTTTGATAGAGTCCAACTATATATGAACTAGACATAGGTCACACTACATTAATCACATAATGAATAAAATTATTCCATAAAGAATTATATATATGACATTCTATGATGTCTTGCAGAACTTTATATCATTTTTCTAAGATGGGCATACTAGTACACTTGTAATCTCAGCTACTTGGGAAGTGGAGGAAGGAGGTTCACAGTAAAAATTGGGAAGACTCTATCTCAAAAATAAACAAAAGGCCCAGGGATACGGCTCAAGTGATATTACACTTACCCAGCATGCATGAAGCCCTGGGTTCACTCCCCAGCACTGGGGAAAAAAATTACCATTTTTTTCTTTAAAATTACCTTCAGGCACTTAGAGGAGTCAGCATTTTTAACCCTTTCTTTTCTACATGACTGAGTCACAAACACAAGCAGAAGCAGGAGGAATGCCTCTTCTGTATAATCCTGTGATCATCAAATTGCACAAGCTCATCTCTTCTACAGAATGGAAGGTGTAATACCAAAATAGCAGTCAAATCTGAGAAGGGAGCCTTGGGTTTGATTTTCAGTTCATGAAGTGATCTAAACTCAGGCCTGCCATGGGGGCAGCAAGTGACAATTCCACACACTTTGCTCTGAGGCCAAAATCCTGGGGTAAAATAAGAGAGACATCATCAAACAAGGCCGTAAACAAGACAGGGCCATAGGTCTTTCAAGGGTCAAAGTCTGTTCAGGATTGAAGATGTTTCTCTGCCTCTGTGATGTGGAGTGTCACCAAGAAGATGACTTGATGTGTAAGGGGAGAATTCAGTAAGATCCATTATTTCCCAGAATGCTGAGGGGCAATTAAAAATGAAAACACCCATCACATTCCTATTGTGGTTTTTCTTTATCCTCTGGATTTAAAAGATGCAATAACTTCTGGCTCCTCATCTGCAACAGACTCAGTTAATCAAGATCACTCTAATCAAAGAAGGGGTCCAATATGTAGAAGGGGGGAACCAGTTTAAAGCTCCTTGTACATGACCAGGTATGGTGTGGTAAAGCACTCTTGTAATCCCAGCTACTCAGGCAGCAGAGATAGCGTGAGGCTATCTCCAGACACTGGAAAAGTCCGAGACTCTATCTAAAAATAAATCAAAGCAAAAAGGGCTAGGAGCATGGCTCATATGGTAAGAGTTCTGGTCCCTGAGTTCAAAACCCCAGTACTGACAAAACAAGAGAAGGAAAGGTCCTTGTTTGGGAGTGGCCATGCTAGATT